CTTTCCCTTCCATGCCCCGAAGCACTAAGGGTCCCACCCTGCTCTGAGAGCTCATTCCAAATGGCTTGGGTGGTGGTTTTTTTTGTTTGTTTGTTTTGCACTGCTCTGTACTGAATTAGACTGCTGTGATTTTGCTGGTTACCCACCTTGTTTTAATGCAGGCTCCAATTCTTTCTCCATAATAATACATAAAGTTCCTTAGTGTGGGTAAAGGCAGTGGCCTTTCTTTTCACAAAGCTTGATTTTGAAACTCTGCAGGAGTTTCCTTTCCATGCCACACTCCATCCAACACACCATGCCTCAGGTCACTTCCCTGCACAGTGTTCTGGTCACATTACATCCCCCACATCTTTCCTTCTACCTGTTTTTCTTGCATCTCCTGATCTTACTGCTTTTCTTTCAGGTGCATACATTTTCTTTGATTCCCTCCCTTTCTCAGCTTGCACCTGCCTTTAGACCACTGCATACCCTATGTCTGGAACCTCAGGCCATTATGAGTTTCAGAGTTGGACTTTCTTCCTCATCACAGCTCCTTTCAGTTATTCTCATTATTTTTAAGAATCTTCTGTTTGCATCAATCATTAACTTGCCAGCTCTTTACCTGAATTAGACTGTAAACTCTGCACGGGGCTGGTCTGCCTTGTATATAGGCTTGGACTTGATTGCAGCTAGCTCACTACACAGTCCTGTTAAAATTAAAAACAGGTGGTAATGGATACTGTGGCATGTGGCATGAACCCTGCACAAGGATGCATCCTGTTGAATGATGCCTGTATGAGGCGTTGCATATCACTGCATCACAAACTAGATACACATGGAAAAAGGCAATTACTGGAGCGTAAAGATTAACATGACAGTTTGATTAGGTAGTTTAGGGATAACTGGAACTCTAGTATGATGGCTATTGACAACCAGAACATAAAGTTCTCAGCAGTGTTTAGATTCTCTGCTGCCACTCCCAAAATAAAAATTAAGACAGTCTTTTTATAGAGACCTACAATAATTGTGTTTTTATGCAACAGCTTAACACAACCAAGACTACAATTTTAACTTTCCCTAAATGACTCCTCCCTGAATCTGGTGCCCAAATTTAAAGACACAGAACCTTTCCTAGTCCTGGCTCCAGACCGGAAAGAAAGGAAGAACAAACTGTCCTGAAGGAAGAGGAACTAAACTGACAAGAACCACCCTGGTGGGGGTCAAGGATTATTTTATACCTGAAATAGGGAGTTTGGAACAAGAGTTTGGTGGTATTTGAGAATAATTTCAACCTTAATTAACTAAAGGTGGAAACCTGGCTTTTTTGCATATTGAGGACTCTCGACGACTGGGAGTGGAACAGCGTCAGATGATGCCCTAGCTCCAACAGGACTGATGTATTACAGGAGTCTGCGCTATTCCATGTGATGGATGAAGACTGGATCTCTGCTGCAGGGCTGAATGTGTCACGTGCCCAGCATCAGACAAGCACTTTCAAAGACTCTTTCTGTTAATCACTGCTATGTTTTGGGATGTGTTTGAAACTGCACATAATCTCTGACAAAGGAAGGCAAATTTTGTACTTTTTGTCTTTCAGCAACTGGCACAGATCTTTCCAAAAAAACCCAAACCAGCGCTGCCATTCTGACTTCACAGAAGTTGCTCCTTTCAGACCCCTGCTTCCTTCATGCTATCAAAGCAAGGAGGAGGTAGTCAGCAAATGTATATCCAAGTACTGTTCCTTCACTTTCCTAAATAATGTTTTTTTTATCAGCTGCAAAGGGTTTGCCCCTCTGAAGAAAGACTAATGAATTTTAAACAAAGAAAAATAACCATTCTTTTTGAACATCTACAGCTACCTAGCTTGAGTTCTACTATTTTCATAAGCCTTCTAAAAATCTAAGTAAGAATAATTGCCCTTTTCTAAAGTACTATGTAGAACTTCATAACAATTTTGCATTCACAGAATGGTTGAGGTTGGAAGGGACCGCTGGAGATCATCTAGTCCAACCCCCTTGCTCAGCAGGGTCATCTAGAGCACATTGCCCAAGGGAAAAAAAAAAATCACAAAAAAATCAAATTAAAACAGTGTGAATCCAACCATTATAAAGAATTCAGTAATAACAAACTAAAGCCATTCACAAATGAACAAACCATACCAGTGTGTTTACTTCCTTGTACCTGCCACCAACCCTGAAATATCCAGCCAATGCTGATACTTCAAAAAGTTTCTGTTTAAGGTTATAGTGGGTGCATAGCCATAAACTAAAAGAGAAGAATATGGGAGAGAGACAAACATTTTGTATAATTCTGAACAATCCCTTGTCAGCAAAACATTAAAAAAAAGGGGGGGGGGGTTATGGGGGGAAAAAAATGGAAGGTTTCAGGAAAAGAGTATAAAAACAGAGACCTGATCCACACATACTGCAATCTACCCACTTGTCATGAATTTAAGGACCATTCTGTCAAGCTATTGTAAAGGACAGAAGCTTTCTGAGCCAAAAAATAATTTTGAGAAGGCATTGCTTTAGTCTTTTTTTTTCCTAGATACTTTCAAATGACTAAGTAGCCTGATATAGTGGTCAGTAGTATGCATCCTCTCTCTCATAACACACATTTTCTTAGTGATCTTAGGACAGATGTGAGCGTTATTCCTCCTCACTCAGTCACCTGCAGCAAACAATTCCTCTGGAACCTAAAGGTGCACTTGGCAGGCTGCTGCTTGTAACCTGCCAGTAACAAAGCTGCTTCAGAATAAGCTATCATCTGCACTGGGGATGCTCACAGCAGAAAAATCTCCAGTTGACTATTTGGAGGCTGTACTTAACTTACAGCACTAACACTTAGGTTCTTAGAGACTTGTGTCAGGGGCAAAGAGGAAGCAGACGTTGAATAAGCCAGGGCTGTCGTGAAGCTCATTATTTTCTGACATAACTGCACTTTAAATTCACAAGTGTGGTATATGACTTCTTTCCCTCGCCTTATTTCTTACAAATATTCACCAATACTTGAGTATTTCAGGGACCAACCCACTCTGATGGATGTACATATACCTCCTGTTTATAGCCTACCTGATTTCAAAAAACAAAAAAAAAAAAACCTGTGTAGATACCTATTCTGTATGATTGGTATAGAAACTTTTTATTTTAATCACTGCTTTTGGCAATGGCTGGACTACAGAATATAGTATAGAATGTGATGACAAATGCCTTTGGTTTTTCTAACTGCTGTGTGTATGCAAAAGGCTGACTAGGTGATAATGTGAGATTTCTGTTTGTTCTTAATAAAATGCAGTTGTCATGAATGAAGCTGTATTTACTCTCAGAGTGAAACAATTATTTTAAAAGCCAAAACAGCCCTGAGATAAAACAGATGTATACAAAGATGAGGTTTAGCATCCTGGGGCAGACCTGCGCTAGTCTGACTCCTTGTTTCTCTCTGCTGATCTTCCAATTCTCAGCTTTAGTGGATCACTAGGATGACATACGCACCTCCACGAGCTTAGGATGTTCACTCCTTCAAAAGCTGGCTAAAACAGTCTTCCAGACTTTCTCCTGTGACACAGTAACTCCTTCATTCCCACAATGCACATTCTCAGGACCTCATGGTATAGTCACTGTTCCCAGCACGCTCTTAGGCTCAGGACTCCTCTCCGCTGAGACATAATTTCCCTTCTGATACGTTCTCCCCTCTTCTCTGCAAATCTTCCTGCTGTTGTGCTTTGTCCAGGTTACCATCTCTCCAAGGCTCCTCACCATTTCTCTGCCACTTGAAGGGACAAAACCTGCCTTAACCACACCACGGAGTCATGAGCAACTGCATACACAACTCTAGCATACCACCTGGTTCTTCAGTCAAAGGACCTCCACAATCATTTATACAGTCACGCTTCCAGGGTCTTGTTAATGGCCAACTCAACCTCCCAACATCCACCCTCTCCTCTCCAGATTTGCCTGAACGTGCAGGCAAACACAGCTTGCATCAGAGTGCAGCTTCATTAATTTCAGAGAGACCCACCAACCTACATTAGAGCAGAACTGGACCCAAATCCATCATTAAAAGCACTTGTCAGAAATTACAGAAAACTGTAACCAAACAAGATCATGCAAAAACAAGCGGCACATCCCAAAGCTTCTGCCTTTGACAACTAGAATATACTTCTTCCTGTGACATGAGCTAACCTGTGTCTTTAAAACTTCATGACAGTCAAAAATCACCTTAACTCTACAGTATTCCATGATGATGCGCAAACTATTTTACTTCTAGATTATGTAGACAGCTGTAATAGGGCATTGTATGCAAATTAATCATGACCCTTAGGCTCCTGCCAACTTGCTGGTTTAGCTCTTGTTCTGAAGACATTCTGAATTGCCTCAGTTGCATTACTACAGTGTCACAGAAACAAAGGAGAGGAAAATACTATTTAAAGTTACCATAACGCTTAGATTATCAGTAAGGAAGAGTGTCCCATCATTCAGTCACTCCCTAGAACATAAATCGATACAGCTTTATTCACACAGTCATTCTCACCATGTTCAACAACATATTTTCTCATATTCCAAGGGCAACTGATGCGGCCCTTTTAAAGAACAGTAGACATTTTAGTGAATGTAACTGAATGCTACAGTATATTTTAATTTTCTGTTATTTTCTTCTGAAATCCCCCTACGGATCAGAGGAAGTTACCATCCTAACCCATCCATCAGTTTTCGTCTTCTAGAGTGGTCTTTTTTTCAAAGAAAAGGTTGAGAAGAAACTCATAAAAAATGCACATTTGGGGCAATCTGGCCATTGTGTGTATATCAGAATTTTCAGATCCACTAAAGAATACACAATCCATGCATGCTTTTGACCCCTCCTTGTTGCATTTCCCCTAATTCTTTCTTGGGGAGGCCTGGAGAAACCTTTTCTGTCTGACTCTTAAAAAGTTCTACTCACCTGTCTTCACAGCAATAGATGACAGCACCCTGGCACAAGGGTCGATCGTGTTCCTGAGCTGACATTTTCTACTATAATAGCCCTGTGATTCTGTGCAGGCCTTCAGCCTTAACATCATTCTCCTGCTGTACCACATTCTACTTATCTAATTTAAAAAACAAACAAACAAAACAAAACAAAACAACAACAACCAACCAACCAAACACACCATGGGTCAGTTTTGCTTGCTTTTCCATGTGTGCCTCCAAATTCTGCTGAAAGTCTGTCTTGATTTTTTTTTTTTATTTTATTCCACTTGACTGGGGAGTTGTCTTCCTCTGCTCCAGGATTTCTTGACAACTTTTGTACACTTCCATCAAGCAGTCCAGACGTGGCTTGGAGCTCTAGAAGTCAAGTCAAGCAACAGAGAATCAGACTGAACCAGCTGAAAAAGAGCTGGAAAGCTTTAACTTCCCACCCAGTGAGATCTGTCAGGCAGAGAAAGGAATATGGAGATAGCTGACATAAAGCTGACTGTCAGAAGTATGCACGTAGAAGGAATGTAACAGTAAGGCATCTGTAGTTGATTAGCTTTATTATCTCACCTTAAGTCAACAGAGAATAGATTTTCCTTTTATGTGTTCACTGAGAACTAGTCTAGCAAATTCCAGGACGTGTTTGATGTAGCCTAGAGGTGAAGACAAAGCCACTGCACAAGCTATACCTGCTCTGTGATGAAAAACACTACTCCCTACAGCTGTCCGGTCAGAACACACAGCACCATTCTGCAGTTAGCCTGAGTCACTCACCAAATGAGAAATCCTCCCCTTTCTCTGCTCACAGCGCACAGTGAGAACACGGGAAAAAAAAAAAAAATCCACATCTTCCAGCCCCTTAGCCTATGATTAGGTTGTACTACCTCTATTTACCTCCAGAACAGCAGATTTCCATACACTAATGCAGCATCCTAACAGACTTCCACCCTCAAAAATCTACCTTCAGAATAGGGAGTTTAGACTACTGGCCCTTCACCTCTGCTAGTACTGTTAATGAGAGGACAACAGAAGATTAACTGAAAACATCAATTCATTTCAGGCAAACAGGGAATGGTGGTCAAAGTATAATGACTTTCCATCACTTCTGACCTGGACCAGATTAAAAGCAGCAAAGAGGCGAAAGTTTCCCCAGCCCTCATCTGACCTCCTGAGTCACTCAGTCCCTATGGTCCCATGACTTTTGGGCTTCCAAAACAAAATTGCCGTATAAAGTCCATCAAATGCCTCTCCTTGCAAATGTTGCTTAAGAGAACAACAGGTCAAATTCAGCACAGAAACATTCCTGGGCTCAGTGACACGGTAAACGCTATTTTTGAAGGCTGATATGACTTAGAGGAACAGAGACCCAATGAATGAGTTGCAACAGAGTTACTAGTTACTGCCCTCTCAAAACTAAGTAACATAATAACTCACACTTTAGAAGCAAGAATTACTGGCAGGTAATGAATTTCAAACTGACGGATCTCTTTCTGTACCTCCTTTGCTGCTGGAGTCAAATCTACCAATATCAAGATATTTCCATGGAAATAACATTGTTCAGAGTTGAGCTAGAAGAAAAAGAAACCATAAAAATGCCAGGCAGCCCCTTCGAAGATGCCAAGGAGCACGAGCAACTAAAAGCAGGTTCCTGAGTGCAGCTGTCAGGAATTCATTAGTTGTAGTCTTCCAGCAAATCTGTTTTTCTCCTTAACTACGTGTGAAATACTTCATTTATATTATTGTTAGTAAATGCTTTTAGGATTGTGGGACTGAGTCAGCAGCAAGTATCAACGGATCAGTAAATCTGTACCTGAAAGTGTTTAGCTGAGGACTAACCGTATCTGGTCATAAACTGGATGCGGACTTCAAGCTGATATACACCAGTAACAAGTAACTTCAGAAGGACAAAGAAGGCTATGAAAACAGCAGTCTAAGATGTGAGGTACATCTGTACTGCTTACTACCACACAAGGATCGAGGTATTGTTGTGTTAGGCAAGCTCAATCAGAAAGAAATCCCATCCCAAAGATGGGATTATGAACGGTCAGAATAGGTTAGCAGAAGACAAGAAAGGAGAAATAGGGTAACAAAGCAAACAAGTGATTATACATTAAGCAAATTGTTCATAGCTTGTACTGTGATCTTTGCCAATGGGCAAAAAAGGGGAACTCAGTCTAATGCCAAGGAGGTTTTTATGAGAACTTTTGGCACACAGACCTGAGACAAAAATCAACTACAGCACCGTGCTGTAGTTCTGGTGGTAATGCTGAGCGTGAAACTGCACACAGAAAGCTGTGTGAGTCCTCATTACTCTACATGAGCCAAAGACTTTCAGTTCATATAAGCTTTTGGTTGGGTTCGAATTTACACAGCTCCATATTCTTTGAATGCAGGACAGATGAGAAAGCATACTCAGCACTTGGTTCTGTGAGACTTCTGATACCACCTGCTCCAAAGCACTGTAAGAACCAACCTGAAGGCTCAGCCAGGGGAAAAAAAAAAAAACACTTGTAATGGGCTGCTTGTAGCAGAATAAAAATACATCAAGACATCTAGTACACACACAAACCAGAAGTTTGGATTTCTCCACAATTCAGTCAGACTCACCTGAAAGAGTGGCACAACCTCAGACACTCCCTGAGGATCCTGAGGGTCCTGGAGAAGGATGCACAGGTAATAGATAACTTTTTGCTACAAGACAAACAGACAAAATCAGCAAAATCTGAGAATGCTGTCAAAGTGCATGGAGTTACTGTAGAAAAACGACCCGTTTTAACTCATTGGCTTGAAGGAAGCATTTGCGTTTTCTAAACGTAAATCAGCAGAAACAATGTTTTAAGAAGGTAAATAGGTAGATATTTTTGCTACAAAATCATGCATAAAGAAGCTTGAAATCAGTCTCTTTCTCTCCCTTTTCCTGTTTGTCTTCAGCCTTGAAGATATCAGAAAGGTCTAGTTCTGTGAACTCTGCCTTCTTAGTAGGAAGGGTGGCAGTCTGATTTTCAGAAAAAGCCATCCCTTCCCCAAAAGCATCCTTCTTGCAAAAATCTATTTGAATCACTGCAGTGCAAGATATTACAAAACCTAAGAACAAAAAAATATACAGGAAAGAAAGCCAAGATATAAGCATTACTGCTAACAATGCTTTTCTCTTATGCTCTTTTGATGCATTCCCTTTTGCTAGTTCTCTGTTTTGCCCTTCTAAAAAGTTATACTATGTGTGAACAAACTGAAGACTCTGAGGAATGAATAAGAATTTGTTTTCCTCTACAATGACATCAACTATACTAGCAATCGCCTGTGTGAACTCAGTTCTTCATCACTGTGTTTGAACATGACAGTGATGGTAGCACAGCACAGCATAGAAAGTCTTACATTAAAAAAAAAAAAGTACAAAGGCTTTTGGGCCTATTTGCACATAAAGAGAAAGAAAAAGAGCTAACTATTGCTTTCATTTCCTTTTGCTAGAAAACTTGAAGATCTACACTAATCTCCAGGTCGTCTTCCCAAGTTCACTTCCACAAAGTAAGTTCTTGTCTGTGCACTCAAAGTAATTGGGAAAAAAACCACCCCTTTCAGAAAGCGTGGAAGAGAAATAGCTAAAAGTATGTTTTGGAGGAAAACATCTCACCTTGGGCCGGGGTCTCTTTCTGCAACCCAGGCACAATTTATGCATATGTTTCTGAAAGGAAGAACTCTGAACAAACCCAGTAGGGCCCAGATTTGGGCATCCTGAAGTTCAGCTAAGACTTTGTGCCTAACACGTCTTAGTGGTTGGCTCTAGGTCTTCAGAAACCCTTCGCCAACAGGATACAGAACGCTCAGGGACAGAGCTCAGGAATTTAGACCACCTGAACTAGGGCTTTGTTATGCAGTGCAGTGCATTTTGGTGTAGAATCCACACACATGCTGAAACCATACTATAGGCACCACAGGGGAGAAATATAGCATCAGCAAAGCTGCACAGCAGCTGAAAGCACAAGCAAACAATTTACAGGAGAACCCTAGATCACTTCAGGCATCTATCGCATGTCACAGAAAGTTCATCAGCATACGGATTTTATGGAAGATGTGTATATCTGAGAGTGACCTTTTCTTTAACAAGCTTTATTGATATACAGCACACAAAACCTGAGGCAACACATACTGCACCAAAAGGCAAATATCTTGGCAGTTTTAAGAGGTGCATAAAATGAAGCTGCAAAAGTCCATCTGCATGCCACATTCATACTGATAAGAGAGTTAGTGAAACACTTCCTGGATGTGAAATATCAGCCAGAGGAAAAATTTCAGAATAGCAACTACATCCAATAAGGATCTAACAAAAAAAAAAGTGGCTGCGAAAATACATCTTCCATTCTGCAAGTTTAGTACACTTCTCTTCCTTGTCTAGCGGTGACATTCAAGGTATTGCTAAGAAAGCAAAACAATTCTCAAGATAGAGCCTATACTTAAATTCAGTTTCAGCTGAAGAAGTCTGCTATCAGAAAGAGACCAATTAATTTTATCTGCAATCAAAATGTTTTAATGTACAGGATCTGCCTTTCCCTCACAGACTGGCCGATTAACTGAAATTAACTTTAGAGAGTTTTTTAGTAAAGCATATTTCTTTCAGATAAGGCTACGAGAAATTACTCCAGGATCTGACAGAAATTACTCCAGCTCTGCTGGACTTATGGGTGCCATTTTAAAATGTTGCCTCTCTCAGCTATCTGCTTCAGCCCTTCTGCTAGAAGTTACTGGCCCTCCTTCCAGCAGCGGAAACAGCTGAATGCAATGTGTATGCCATGTCCCAATCACCCCAGGCCACAGTCAAGTATTTAAATTTATACTACACCATTTTGCCCTTCACCTGGCAATAAAATAATTTTAACTATTTTTTTCTATTAGATTTTTAATCAGAAAAGAACAAAAAATACATTGTCTGCTTTTCCACAGAAGCATAGCAAAAAACCCCAGAGACTGAGGAAAAAAAAAAAAAATCACCTCTTTTGGTTGTGGTCCATCTTCTTATGGTTTATTGAATACTTACGGAGTTTTACATCGGAATTTATAAGAACAGTGTAACAGGAAGAACTAAAACCAGTAGCTCAGTGCATTATCTAAGGGATGGATTTGACTTTTTGAGGATATTTGCTTTAAGTTTTCCTTGAAAGGTAAGAAAACAGATGATAGAATAAAAAGAGAAATCTGGAACAAAGCCCCTGACATCAGCAAAGCTATAGATGTTGCTGTGTTTACTTTCTCTGGTAAACCACTCTCATGAAAACATGCTGGATCAAAGTGTGCCTAAAGATACACATGAAGAAAGACTGTATACAATTACCATGTGGATGGCTTCATTGATAACCACATCCTTCACCTGACTCATCTCAATGAAGGTTGTGCTCTCCTTCCCTGAAGCATAGGATGAAGTCACCTGAATGCCAAGTGAGCCAATGACTAACAGTGATTCCTGGTCAATCTTCACAAAGTGCAGATATACAATCAGGCCGATGAGCGTGATGAATATAGCAGCAGAAAGCACCATACTATTCTGTAACACAAACCAAGGAAAGACAGAGCTCCAGTCTTAACACACTGCTTTATACAAAGTAATGTTCCAGAGTAAACCACAATATTAAGGCTACAGTTATATGGCAGTTTTAATTAAGTGGAGTCCTCTATGTATGCAGGGCACTCACTGGGCCGGTAATGAGGTTTAAATTACCAAACACAAGTCTCCATAGTATGATCTGAAGGAATTGGGAACTGAAACCAAAATGAGCAACAAAACTTCATCCACGTCTAAATTTAGTGCGGGAAACTCCATTCAAAACAGTGAGGAGCATCAGAGAAGACAGCATGTCATACAAACATCTGTAGAAGTGATGTCAACCTAATAGAGAAATTTTAAATGTTTACTAGAGCTAAGGGTGGAGTCTCAGAGCGGAAAGAAGTTGTTTTGCTAAAAGATCTGGACTAAGACCTAGGAGATCCAAGTTTTCTTCTTATAATCTGAGAGTCTAAACTTGTTCAAACTTCATCTCCCTTCTAGAGACTGCTTGCTTTCTTCCGAGCTTTGCCTGAGAACAATCTGTCTTTTGCATGCTGCAGTTTGGGATTGCTAGCTATTACATAAAATAACGTCTAACTGATAAAACTATAAGCAACAGTAAGTCATCTGAAGACCTGGTAATACATCCCAAATGTTCTCAACCTACAACCTATCTCTGGGACTTGTTTTAGAGAGCCAAAGGCCACATCCTGTAAATCAAAGTCATAACTGACAGTTCCCAAAGGACCAGAGCTACATGGCCCTCCAGCTCAACTAGTGACTGTACCACTATATGAGGTAAAGAAGCCATGCCTGCATTCAAAGAGAAAGGATACTGGACTCCTCCCAGAGCTCGTCATCATGGTGAAATCAGTGGAGAATTACAGACACTGAAATCTACAAAGAGGCTGAAGACCTTCAGGTCTGGTTTCCTGGCAGAAAGGGAGGATTGTAATCAGTTAGTTACGTACAAGCTGCATGCACTCACTTAAAATCATGCAGGAAGACAGCTGGTGGTAACTGCTGGCTCAGGATATATGCTTTTGTAAAAAATAAGACTGGACCACAACTCCCCTTCCAGCCAGAGGATGACGAGCCATCTTTTCATACCAGAAACATTGCCAATTGATTTATGTCTCTCAGTCCCCGTCTCCACTCTTTGGGAAAGATTATTGAGAAAGCTGAAGTGCGATGTGTATCATAGTGCTGGTCACAGGGATCAGCCTTTTCAGTCAAGCCAAGCTCTTGACTTTAATCTCAGGGTGAAAGTATTGGTCTGAGTCCAGAAGGCAGTCCTCCTCTGTTAGCATGGATCAAAGATCAGATATCTAAGCCAATACTTGTCGATTTATCAGCCGCTTTTGAAATCTGTACTGTCTGACAAGGTCTTGTTGACTCAACTATGCAACATGAGCAAGTAAATGACATTCGTAGTGCAGTGCTCTTTGCTCCACTCAGAAAAATCCCAGAGGGGTTTTCCTAGGAATCACTCACCTCCTTGGAGGGACCCTGCACCCCACGTCCCCGCACCTCCTCTCTCCGAGTAAACTCACAAGGCCACGCTAGCGCCCACGCGTAAATCTACCCTAGCTGGCAAGCTACAAACCAACCGGGGCCTCCGAGAAGCGGCCGGGGGCGCTGGGGCTGCGCCAGCGGGCCCCCAGCAG